CGGGGACGATGGTGGGGTAGGGTTAGGGTTAGGGTAGGGGGCAGTTCGGACGGTTGCGAAGAAAGGGAGAGGGCAAACAATCTGTGCAGACTTTTCACATACCTCACACGGTTAACTAGGACATCGCCTCTCCTGCCGTCGACGAATCGGCAGGGAACGAGCATCGCACGACTTCGATCGTCGATGGCGTCTCGTTATAATCCACTCGCCGTTTCCCAGCAGCGAACCGAACGACAGACTCAAGGTAGCGCAGCATCCGTGCGAAAGATGCGAGCCGGCGACTCTGCCGACCAGCAGAGGGCGCTAGCTGACTCCTCACCACCACGAAGACGAACACGGTGATGCACCGACACCAGCCGTCACTCCGCGAGGCCGCCACCCGTCGCTCCGCGAGGGCGCCACCCGTCACTCTGCGAAGGCACCACCCATCACTCAGAGAGGGCGCCACCCGTCACTCCGAGAGGGCGCCACCAGCAGTCACACGCGCGGCTTCTGCGGCGTGTCGGGGATGATCTCCAGGTCCGACGACGTCTCGCTCGACCGTCTGCCGCCGCCGTCGCCCCCGGCAACCCTCTCCGCCTTGTCAAGGAGGAGGGTCTTCAGGAGGTTGTGCGTCTCCGGGGAGGAGGGAGGCGGCGGCCTCTCGTCGCACGCGTCCGAAGACCCGGAGGCGTTCGCTGGCTGGCCGCTGGCGCCCTCTGGTGGGTACGCCTCGCAGCTGCTCGCCAAGTAAGTCTCGTCGCTGTCCTGCGTGAGATCGATGAGCTGCACCTCGTCGTCGCCAGGCGGCGCCACCGCCGCGTCGTCGGGACGCGTCGGCGCCTGCTGCCGGTCGCCGTGGTGACGGGAGGCGGCGGCAGCGGCGTCCGGCGGCCCGCGTGACTTCCCTGCCGCCCGCTCCCCTTCTCCCCGCTCCCGCGCCGTTCCCTCGCCGTCACTCGACAGGCACTGCCTCAGTAGCGCGCCGCCCGGCGGAACCCGAGTCCGGCCGGGCGGCGAGAACGTTCTCTTGTTCGGACGGCCGTCGGCGATCGTCTCGTCGAGGAGTCGCCGCTTGTGTAGCGGAGGCGGCGGCTCGTCGTGGCTCCCCCTAGCAGACGCCGCGCACAACTCGGGGGATCTGTCGGCGCCGCTAAGCGATGGAGGCACGAGGACCGACGCCCCGCCGATCCAGCCACCCGCGGTCTCCCCGCCCGCCCGCTGCTGCTGCTGCTGCTGCCCCCTGCGGGACAGATCGAGCGGTGCTGCGCCGTCGTCGCGGCAACCGTCCGCGCGTTGCCCATCGTTCTCCAGCAGGCTGCGGAGAGACTTCGGGACGGTTGCCGCGACGACGGCGGGTTTTTCGCAGACAATAGCGATGTCGCTGTCAGAGCTGCTGCTGCTGCTGCCGCGACGCACCGGGCGGCGCCACCTGTCGCCGCTGCCGCCGCCGTTACGCGCGGCGACCGCGTCGTCGATGACATAGGGGGCGCTCTCGAGCATCGTCGCCAGCAGGCAACGCTTCCGGCTGGCCGTGACCTCCGACCTCGGCGCCGCGCGCCGCCGTGCGTTGCCACGGCGACCGCCGACGTCCGTCGTCGTGCTCGTCACCGCGCTGTCCTGGTCGCTCTGCTGCCGTTGCCGTGACGACGCGAGCTTGAGCGCGGGCTCCGAGCGCAGGTAGGTGACGTGGCTCGGCGCGATCGGCACGTAAACGAGCGGCGGCGGCGCCACCTGGCGACGCGCGACGGCGTCGATCGTCGCGGCGACGCCGGGCGATTGCGAGGGCGGCCGCTCGAGGGCGCTGACGGCCGCGACGAGGTCACGCAGGCAATCGTCGACGCTCGCGTCGCGCCGCGCCGCCATCGACGCTGGGTCGTCGTCGTCGCGCGATCGCATGCTGTCGCTAGCGCCGTCGAGTTCGATGACGAGAGGTTCGCGGCGCCCTCTATTAACTCGTCTCGCGCTCACGCGGGTTCGCGACGCGATGCCATCTTGTCTGCTGGCTGCGTCCGATACAAGCCCAATCTCCTCCACGTCGCTCTCCTCCTCCTCTGCCTCCTCCTCCGCCTCCGCCTCCATCTCCTTCTCCTCCTCCGCCTCCTCCTCCTCCTCTGCCGCCTCCTCCTCCTCGCTATCGCTGTCACTTATGTATGTTGCCTGTGACTGCTGCTCTCCAGAACTCTGCGAATCTGCATACGAAATCACAAGATCCGTGTCACACGTTGTTATTATTACACTACGTAGCGTACATTAAAATACAATCATAAACTGTGATTTATAGACGACTTATTCCATTACAAAGGCTTTCATGTCACGTTGTTGGCGACTAGTCAGTGTAGCTGTCAGTTGATACGCACGTAAATTAACAGAGCGACGCGTTTCGATGATCCTTCAGTCTGTTATACGTCATTATAACACACATTCGCCCACATGTGACCGAACTGTCACACCAGTTTTTGTCATTGTGGTGATCTTGCGCGTAATTGCGTGTAGGCGATATTGCGTGACGTCACAGTTTTTGCCGAGAATTTGTGGAGAATTGCAGAGATTTGCAACACAGAATTTGCCGAGGCAATAATCGCTCACCGTCGCGACCGCCGCCACATTTCGTCGGCGTGCAGATCATCTTGAATCCCTCGTATTGAATCTCAGATGGCGCCACCTCCTGCTCAACCTGCGGCGGAGTTTCGTCGAACGTCAAACTGTTGCTTGTCTCGCCTACAAACAAGCGGACAGTCCACAGAGACAGATAATCACCATCGGTCAGCAAGGGTTTCAATATCGATAAGAATGTACATCAAGAAGAATGTAGAATCATCACGAGGGCAGAGGAACTAATCGCTGTTATATTCACAAAATGTGAAAATCCTAAATGTGCACAAGTTGCAGGTTTTAGTACGGGAAAATCTCCTAAAGTATTCTAAAGTAAATAATCGCTATAGATTCACAATTCTGACCGTCGGATGGAAGTATTCTGACGTGATTCTGCAAGGTTCCCAGAGTTCCGTAGTCAGGGCCTCCATCCTCGTCACCCGTGTCATGGCAGCTGGATTCCAAATCTTTCTTAAAATCTTCTAGTCTCTTCTTTACCTTTAATTTCAAACTTTATCAACCACTGCCACACGCATGTACACATACAGTAACTTGATAGAACTAGCCTAGCCATTCATGACATTGGTGGCTAGGTGATATTGCTGAAAATTCAATTTCATTTGCTGCAAAAACTATATTATTTGCAGCAGTTACACAATTATACAAGATAGCATTTGAGATGTACATTATAACCACCTTTACCCGCTAAAAAAAAACAATATAGATATATATTAAAGAATTTCTCTGTCAAATAAGAAGATTCTAGGCTATTCTAAAAATTTTCGCACGCTCGGTTTTCAAGTAGAAGCTGGAATCTTCACGTAGCGACAACCCGACCTCCGGTTGCCGTGGCGATGCCTGCTTACCTGTTCCAGCGTGGAGCCGCAGGGAACGACGTTCGGGTGGACGTTGCGCGGGCGTAGGTGGCGCACCATGTCGCGTATCTCGGCGTAGGACGCGTGCGAGGAGAAGCAGACGCGGTGGCGGTCGCGCGCCGGCGACGACCTCACGACCTCGGCGACGCTCACGTGCTGAGCGAACCACATCATAGACGGCTTGACGACCATGACCCTCACGGTGGCGCCACCGTCGTCCCGGCGGCAGCACGTGAACTGCGGGAGATAGATTCGGGGGATCGCGATGAACGGCAGAGTGGAGTTTTGCGAAAGACAGATACGATTCTCACACGACGACGTAATTGAATGGAAGTCCTGGGCAAGTATGGCGTGACGAGATTATACTGGGCTATGGCAGAAATAGAAGCTACCAAGTGGGAAAGAATAGCGATGACAGCACACGTGTGTACGCACATGCTCACGCATGCACGTGTTGTACGCTAATGTGTGCGTATGCAATACGTTGCAATCGAGTTATCCGCGTACCTTCGGAGGCACTTTACACGTGTGAATCTGCGTTGATTGTCGGTCGGTTGTCAGCGCGCCCTGGATCTCCGGCACTTCGCTATACTTTTCCAGCTGCCATCGGCAAACGTGCACCTGAATCAGCAATGCTAGCGTTTGTCTGCAAGCTCTGACGATGTGCTTGTATTTACGCGAACCGTCCCCGGCCAAGGAAACGCGAAACTCGATTTGATTTCGAAACAGCATTCCGACAATCAACCTCTACCGGTTCTTTCGATCAAAGATTTGATGTAATCTAATTATGAGTTTCAGTTGTTAGCATTTAGTTGTTAGGACTTAGTATTTGAGTTAGGTATCTTAGTTGTTAATCTACCCTGTGCAAACAATGTGACTTATACACGAGTAAATACGGTATTATTATTACATGTATTATTCAATTTTGATTGCATGTAATTCAAATACAAATGAACATTGGATGTAATCATCTCGCTCAGACGGAGCGGTCAATTCGACTATCGACGGAAGCGTCCGCACCTTCATGCCAAACCTCCTGTGAAGGTCAATGAACAGACTCTCGTAGCCGTACTGAGACTTGCAGTTGAGCCACACTAGGTGGCGCTTGCTCTGCGTGATCCAGCGCTCGACGAGAGAGAAGATGGCGGCCGTGCTCTCGTCTCGCGTGGCGATGTGCGTGGCTTCGGGGATGCAGAACGTCGTGTCGACGTATAGGCTCTCTATGTCCTTCACTCTGCACACGGATGCAAGTACGTTACACCATACACACAGACAGAAGTACGTTACACCATACACACACACAGAAGTACGCTACACCATACACACAGACAGAAGTACGTTACACGTACAGGCTCTCTATGTCCTTCACTCTGCACACGGATGCAAGTACGTTACACCCTTCTGTCTGTGTGTATCGTACTTCTGTCTGTGTGTATGGTGTAACGTACTTCTGTTTGTGTGTATGGTGTAACGTACTTGCATCCGTGTGCAGAGTGAAGGACATGGAGAGCCTATACGTGTAGCGTATTACGCTACACGTACAGGCTCTCTATGTCCTTCACTCTGCACACGGATGCAAGTACGTTACACCATACACACAGACAGAAGTACGTTACACCATACACACAGACAGAAGTACGTTACACCATACACACAGACAGAAGTACGTTAGCAATCCATACACACAGACACGAAGTATGTTTAGCACCATTTTTACCCAGACAGGAGAAGTACGTTACAACCGTAGCACACAGACGAGAAGTAAACGTTACACGCATACACAGCAGACAGAAGTATGTTACACCATAAGCCACAGACTAGAAGTACGTTAAGCACGTACAGCCAGACAGAAGTATGTGGCACCATACACACAGACAGACGTACGCTAGCACGTACAGGCTCTGCGTCAATGTCCCTGTCACTCTGCAGCACGGATGCAAGTTATGTTACACCATACCCAAACAGAAGTACGTTACCATACACACAGAAGCAGAAGTTACGTCCACGTATACGGGCTCTCTATGTCCGCTTCACGTCTGCAGGCAGGATGCAAGTACGTTACAGCCTACACAAGAGCAGAAAGTAGTACAGCCATACACACAGACAGAAGTAACGGCTACAACATGGACCAGCAGACAGAAGTACGGCTACACGTAGAGCGCTGGCTCTAATGTCGCTTCACTGCTGCAAACGGATGCAAGTACGCTTACACCTTAACACACAGACAGCAGAAGTACGCCTACACCAGATACCCAAGACAGAGTAGGTTACACGTAAGCTCTGCTATGTTCCTTGTCACATCTGCAGCACGGATGGCAAGTAGCGTTTACACATACACACAGACAGAAGTACCGTTACACATCATACAGCACTAGACAGAACGTATGGTAGCACATACAACACAGACAGACAGTACGTTACAGACATACACACAGTAGCAGAAAGTGACGTTAGCCGTACGGCTGCTCTATGTCCTTCATCTGGCACGACGGATGGCAAGTACGTACACATAGCACACAGACAGAAGTACGTTACATCCATAGGCACACAGACGAAGTACGGCTACAGCGCATACACACAGACAGAAGTACGTGACAGGCGCATCACAGGAGACAGAAGTACCGTTACAGCATGACACGACAGACAGAGAGTACGTACACCAATACAGACAGACAGAAGTACGTTAACGGCATAGCACACAGACAGAAGTACGTTACAGCGTATAGGCTCTCTATGTGCCTTGCACCAGTCTGGGGCACACGGGATGCAAGTAGCGCTAACCATACACACAGACAGAGTACGCTCACCCATAACACAGGACAGAATGTAGGCTACACTCATACACAGCAGAGGAGAAGTACGGTTTAAGCATAGCCAGCAGACAGAAGTACGTTAACCAATAACACCACAGAAGTACGTTACACCATACACACAGCCAGACGTAGCTACAGATACACACACGACAGAAGTACGTTACACCAGTATCACACAGACAGAAAGTAGCGTTACACCATACACAGCAGACAGAAGTAACGTTTACACGGCATACACACAGACAGAAGTAGCGTTACACCCATAGCACACAGACAGAAGTACGTTACCCCATACACACAGACAGAAGTACGGTTACACTGCATAACACACAGGACAAGAAGTTACGTTACACGTAATAGCTGTCTATGTCCTTCACTCTGGCAGCACGGATGCAGTACGCTACACCTATACACACAGACAGAAGTACGGCTAAGCACTACACACAGACAGAAGTACGTACAGCATACACACGACAGAAGTCCGTTACCGCCATACACACGAGACAGAAGTGACGTTAAGATGGCCAATAACACACAGACAGAAGTAGCGCTACCCATACACAAGACAGGAAGTACGTTTACACGTACACACGACAGAAGTATCGTTAGCCCCGATACACAAAGACAGAAGTACGTTACCATACACACAGGACAGAAGTAGTTACCCATACACACAGACAGAAGTACGCTAGCAGCCAATAGCACACAGACAGGAAGATACGTTACGGACGTAGCAGGCTCTCTATGTCTTCACTGCTGCACACGGATGCAAGTACGCTAGCACGCGATACCACAGACAGAGTAGTTACAGCGCCGGCGCCGCCCCATACACATCCAGACGAAGTACGTTACAGGCCATAGCACACACACAGAAGTACGGCTACCCATACACAGCAGACAGAAGTACGTTACCGTACAGGCTCTGCTATGTACTTCATCTGCACTACGGATGGCAAGTACGTTACACCATACACACAGACATTTAAGTACGCTACCCATAACCAGACAGAAGTACGTTACACGTTAGGCTCTCTATGGCGCATTTTCACTCTGCACCACGGATGCAAGTAGTTACACGCATAGCCACAGACAGACATTACGCTACCCATAACACACAGACAGAAGTAGCGATTAGCAGCGTATAGGCTGCTCTATGGCCATGTACTGCTGCACTACGGATCGCCAAGTAGTTAGACATACGACAGACAGAAAGTAGCGCTACACATACACCAGACGAAGTACGTTAACACGTATAGGCTCTCTTATTGGCATTCACTTCTGCACACTGGATGGCAAGTAACGTTACACATACACACTAAACAGAGTAACGCTCGCAACCATACACAGCAGACAGAGTACGTTACACCATACACACAGACAGAAGTACGTTACACCATACACACACACAGAAGTACGCTACACCATACACACAGACAGAAGTAGCGTATCAGCCATACACGACGACAGAAGTCGTTACACCGCATACACACAGGACAGAAGTAGCGCTACACGTACAGGGCTCTCTATGTGCTTCACTCTGGCACACAGGATGCAAGTTACGTTACACATAACACACAGACGAGAAGTAGCGTTACACATCCCAGCAGACAGAAGTACGTTAACACCATTAACACACAGACAGAAGTCGCTACACATACACACAGACGCAGAATACGTTACACCATACACACAGACAGAAGTACGTTACACCATACACACAGACAGAAGTACGTTACACCATACACACAGACAGAAGTACGTTACACCATACACACAGACAGAAGTACGCTACACGTACAGGCTCTCTATGTCCTTCACTCTGCACACGGATGCAAGTACGTTACACATACACACAGACAGAAGTACGTTCCCATACACACAGACAGAAGTGATGGGGGGGGGGGGGTGGGTTTTACCCAATACACACAGACAGAAGTACGCTACACGCATACACACAGACAGAAGTAGCTACACGTAAGGCTGCTCTATGTTTTGTCAGCTGCTCCACACGGATGCAAGTACGTATACACCATAACACACGACAGAAGTACGTTAAAGCCATACACACATGACGAAGTAACGTTACACCACATACACACACAGAAGTAGCGGTACCCCATACACACAGACAGAAGTACGTTAGCACCATACACACAGACAGAAGTACGTTTACACCATACACACAGACAGAAGTACGCTACACGTACAGGCTCTGCTATGCCTTCACTCTAGCCACGGATGCAAGTACGTTAGAAAACACCATCACACAGACAGAAGTAGCTAGCACCATACTACACAGACAGAAGTACGTCTACACCATAGAACACAGACAGGAAGTACGTTTAGCACATACCCAACAGACAGAAGTCGCTTACACCATCCAGCAGACAGAAGTAACGTTCACCATAACACAAGACAGAAGTACGCTACACGATACACACAGACAGAAGTCAAGCGTTACACATAGCACACAGACAGAAGTACGTTACACCATACACACAGACAGAAGTACGCTACACGTACAGGCTCTCTATGTCCTTCACTCTGCACACGGATGCAAGTACGCTACACCATACACACAGACAGAAGTACGTTACAGCCATCGCAACACAGACCGAAGTAGGGTTCAGCCATACAGCACAGACAGAAGTACGTTTAGACGCCCCTGAAACACAGACAGAATAGCGTTTACAACCATACACACAGACAGAAGTAACGTTACAGCCAATACAACACAGACAGAAGTACGTTTACACCATACCACAGACCAGAAGTACGTTACCCAATACACACAGACAGAAGTACGTTTACACCATACACACAGAACAGAAGTACGTACACGCATTACACACAGACAGCAGTAAGTTACAGGACAAATCGCGTACACACAGACAGACGTACGTTACACCATCCACACAGACAGAAGTACGTTTAACATAGCAGCACAGACAGAAGTACGTTACACGCATACACACAGTACAGAAGTCACGTTTAGCACCATAACACAGGACAGACGTACGCTAGCACCATAGCAAAGCAGACAAGAAGTATGCTAGCACGTAGCAGGCTCTCTATGTACTACACTCTGCACACGGATGCAAGTACGTTACATGCAGACAGAAGTACGGTACACACAGACAGAAGTATGCTACACACACACAGACACAAGTATGCTACACACACAGACACAAGTATGCTACACACAGACACAAGTACTCTATACGCTGTATATTTCGTGGTGGTTTAATTTTTGCGAATTTTCGCACGAACGCGTCCCCGACCGCGAAAATAACAACACGCGAAAATAATAACATGCTATTCTTCACCGATTCGGGAATTCGCCCACCGAAATTGTCCATCAAATCTGAATTCGCGAAAATATATGTATGCAAAAAATATGGCGTATACAGTACGCTACATGTACAGGTGCTGTATGCTCTTCACTCTGCATACAGACACAAGTAGGGATGCACCGGATCCAACTTTTTAAGTTCCGGCCGGAACCGGAACCAGCCGGAACTTGAAAAAAGTTCTGGCCGGAACTACCTGACCGGAATCGGAACTTTAGCTGGGAATAAACTTGAAAGTTTTGGCTCAGTATTGCGCAAACTCACTCGGCCTGAACGAAATATCATTAGCAGGCACATCACTCAGGCGAGTAGGACAATGCTCAAAGTTATAATTACAGGATGGTTGTTAGGTGTATTAATCAGCTCCTTACAGTGCATAATTTGCATAATTCTGGCATCTTATTCGCTAGCGAATTCTGTGGCAAAACCTGCATGTTGCAGTATCCCAGGTTTTAGTCTATTATTTTCCACTAACAGACAGATGCCATTCCTGTGGCTCTAAGAGTATTTGATTTTGAAAGATAATCGTATGAATCACTCAATATCAGTTAGGTTCAGTTCAGTTAGTTAGCCAATGTTCAAGTGGCAAGAATTTTTTTGGGCAGAATAGTGTGAAGTTGTTAACACTATATTGTCAGCAAGTTGACTCTATTGACTCTCAATTACATTCAGTGACTGATCTTTTGATCTTGATGACTCTTGTAGCAGAAATGAAATTAGGAAAAAGTTCCAGTTCCGGCCGACTGTTTCTGAAGGGTTCCGGCCGGAACCGGAACTCTGTAAAATTGGGGATCCGGCCGGATAGTTCCGGCCGGATCCAAGTTCCGGTGCACCCCTAGACACAAACACACTGCCCTATCACCATCACAATCATCAGCACAGTCACCTGTCAATGTCACATCAACTATCGTACTCATCTGTCAACCATGATACTCACCTGCTGTCATTCTGATACCCATCGCACTCACCTGCCACTATCGCGTAATCCGTCCCACTTACCTGCGACCGCCGTACTCACCTGTAATCAATTGCCGCGCTCACCTGTAATCAATTGTCATACTCACCTGTAATCAATCGTCGCTCTCACCTGTAATCAATCACCGTGCTTACCTGTAATCAATTGTCATACTCACCTGTAATTAATCGCCGTGCTCACCTGTAATCAACCGCCAAGCTTACCTGTAATCAATTGTCATACTCACCTGAAATCAATCGTCGCACTCACCTGTAATCAATCGCCGCGCTTACCTGTAATCAATTTTCATACTCACCTGAAATCAATCGTCGCACTCACCTGTAATCAACCGCCGAGCTTACCTGTAATCAATTGTCATACTCACCTGAAATCAATCGTCGCACTCACCTGTAATCAACCGCCGAGCTTACCTGTAATCAATTGTCATACTCACCTGTAATCAATCGTCATACTCACCTGTAATCAATCGCCGTGCTTACCTGTAATCAATCGCCGTGCTTACCTGTCACCGTCGTGCAGGTGTCTGATGCGAGCGACATCGCCGCAATGCAGGCGGAAGTCGCCCGTGTAGAGCGCCGTGCCAGTGGAGCCCTCAAACAGGAACATGGTGGAGCCGGGGCAGTGGCCGGCCGGCAGCAGTGTCACCGTCAACTCCTCTACCTGTCAAAACCGAACGACAGCTCGCGATTCAAACGTCGGACGACGCCGGGGGCGGGGCGTGTGCGTGGCGACAAACCACGTCGAGTTACCGACGGATTTACATTGTTTGCTGACAGCGACCGAGTGCGTGAGTCGCAGTGAGACCGAAATATTCTATGTCCGAAATATTCTGTGTCCGAAATATCCTGTGTCCGAAATATCTCCCCCGAGATTACCTTTGCCGTGTGGTTCATCGTCACACGTATCGTTGTAGGCTCGCCTACGGGCAACACTTCCTGCAAACAGATACGTCGGTTAGTAGCTAAATAGTTGTTCGAACGATAAAATCACGCGATGCGAGTAGTTCAGACAGCGGCAAGCACCTAGCTATAAACATTTCCGTGAAACACTCGAGTGACGCGATTTCAGAAGTCACGCGTACGTAGATTATTTCGCTACACGTCAATATATGGATGCTGCAGTTTTTTCTTACGAACGTTAGCTGTCGGTCAGTGACACCTCCAGTTACATAGTCAGCATTCTCTCAGAGCTAAGCATGGCAGTAATGGTGTACAATACTGCAGGACTGTAGCCAACAAGGGGAGGGGGGAAGGTCCCCCAGAGAAATGCGGATACATTCCACGATCACCTTCCCAGAACACGCCACACAAGCGGTGTGAGCTTTGCCCCCTCCCAAAGGCAAAATGGATTAGCTACGCTCCTGTACTGGTTAGCAAATGGGTGTAACAGTTTAACAGAATGCACTGACACAAGTTTTAAAGCAGGGAAGGATATCTACGACAGGAACGTTTGAATGTTAATCTCTCTCTCGTCTTTATTGGACTTACTATGCACTTGGCTATGTACTTCCACTTCCTAGCGCTGGCCAGTAACCTCTTTGTTACATCTGATGCATAAAGTTTCACATCCTTTCGGAATTTTATCTGCTCGTAAAAGCATTGTTCTCCAAGACCAACCATGTGATCTGAAACAACAAATAATTGTTATGCAAAGCAGTAAGACTACGTTGCAATGAAAAGGTTAAATTTCTAACTCTGTACAGGTACTGTAGACAGTATTGTTACATAGATTTTCGATCTAAATGAATAATTTTCCCTGACTTTTAATATGCCATTCATATCAGTCCTTGTTTGGAACTGTGTAAAAATATCACTAATAGATGTATTAAACTTGAATCACTACAACAAATGTCATATAACCTCATAATGATTATTCTTCAAAGTCTGACGGACTATATAAAAGATGGAGAGAGACGAACGAAGTTGATCAAATAGACAGATTAACACTGTAGATTGCAGTTGGAAAAGCTTCAGTTTCGCAATTTTTCATGTGGTATGGCTCTCAATCAAAGCGATTTCTTTCCATCCGTACAATATTTACAACAGTGATAACAAAATGCAAATCCACCAGCGGTTGCTGTGCTGGCATGTTTTGATACCTGTGTGACAGTGCGAGAGGAAAAATGCTGAGGACTTTAGGTTTTCCCCGTCGAAACGATCGATGGATAGGAACGGGTACTCTCTCATCCGTCCCTGGAAGCTGCTCATTATGCGTGGTTGCTCTGCGCTCAGACTGAATAGACATATATAGCAGGGAAAAAATTAAAATGTATTTTTCGGGGGCTACTTTTTAAGCTCGCGTGCATGAAAATGGCACTCTAAAATTTGGTTTGCATTGAAATCTATGCAAATTTACGGGGGCTCTTTTTGGCATTTCGGGGGCTAAATCGCCCCGAGCCCCCGTGTATTTTTTTCACTGGTGTAGTGCTCTCACCCTAACGTAGCTCTAGTACTATAGCCCACTTACAGTTGCCGCAGGGCTATAGAACATTCTATTACGAACGCTAGGGAACAACCCGCTGACTGGCGCTGCTGCAGCGCCGCCAAAAATGGCCGTTTGAAGTTCGTAAATCAAATGTTCGTTCACATGAAATACTGCAAGCAGACCCTTTCAACGATAGTTAGAGATTAAATTTTAGTAGCTGATATAACTTGAGACATATTCACTTCGGATAAGAGGCATTAATTGCCTACCACAGACGTTTTATAGCCGCGAGTAACCGTGAATAATTGGTCCCTAGCATTCGCAATAGAATGTTCTATAGCCCTGCGGCAACTGTACGCGGGCTATAGTACTAGAGCTAACCCTAACGCAGAAACACAGTAGTATGTGTAACCTAACGTCGATAACAAATATTGAAGCAATAACAATTAACGTAAACAATAAGTGAGTAACACTAGTGATGCTGGTTCAAGGACTGTCCCCAATTCATTTTCGCAATGTGCGACATGTGCAAATAAAATGTGCAAATGTCGTGATGTGGACAGCACCTTTATAAATATAATATATATCCTTGGGCCGTACTAACCCGACCAGGCTGTGTGACTAACGTCAATATACACAGTATATATATATATATACAGGTCTCCTAACCCTAGCAAAGACCGTTTCTTGGAGCTAGGGCCGTACGTGACGCTTACAGAAGTAAGCTGGGGCAAACTAAAACAAATATGAGCAGGACTTTATATATAGCAAGGCTCCACACTAACTTTTTTTTTCAGTGGCCCGATCGGCACCTATTATTGCCGACAGTTTTCTGTAAATTCCGTCCAAATCTTACGTCCGACCATATACGCTGCCGGCGTGACTGTTGCACACTTACACTATATATATAAGTGTAAGCGTGCAACAGTCGCGCCGCAAAAGCAATGGCGCCGGCAGCGTATATGGTTGGACGTAGGATTTGGACGGAATTTACAGGAAACTGTCGGCAATAATTAATAGGTGAAAGAGAGCATAGAATTTGGTAGTAAATAGATTTCGTATTTAGTTAGCATTATATTTTATTGAAACGCTTCAAGTGCCTGTGTGTGTTTGGGTTACATTATTGTATCTAGGGTTCCCCTATTCCCCGATTTGGGTTCCCCTATCCTGTGTTTGGGGTACAATATTGTATCTAGACTTTATATAATAGCTGAGGCGATCATGCTTGCCGTATGTACTAACATACGTATACAAAATTTAAAATTACAAATAGAATTGACTACACTACGTCACGTGTGACCGTATGACGAGTGAGTCTAGAAAATTTTGCATAAGCAATAAATTTCTAATTTTACTAGGCCTATAGCATAGGCCTATTGTCACTTGTGTTGTTTACTAGGCTACACTACAGACTACATCGTACCGTAGGTGCAGTATATTGGCTCAGACGTCACACTTCCGAATAACATATAAAGATGA